CAATAGATCCAGAATTAAGGTTAAGAATTAATTTTGTGTTACAAGCATAACCAGTTAACAATTGCCAATGTCGTTAAAAATCACATACATCTTTTAATTGGTATTATCTCTATTTCTTTCCCAGATTGGTTAAACAACATGTAATATATTATAAATTACCAGTCCATTGTGCTTTGCTCCTCCAAAAGGCCATCGCTTTGATGTAAAGGACAGAAATTCAAGGCTGGAACCTCAAGGCACCCATGACTCTTGACAGGAAGCTGTCCTTCTCAATTCCTGAAACAGATTATAAACATTTCAATAAATATTGACAATATATGTAAGAAAATACAAAAAGAAATAGCATTATTAATATTTTAGTTTTCTTCAATGTCTACTTTTTTAGCAAAATTCGAAGGTCTTTTATGTATTCTTTTTGCTTTTCATTCCTTTCCATGTATTGGATTCCCTCCCCCTTTCTACATGAGCTACTAATGTTAATTCTAAAAAAAGAGATATATTTGAAAATAAAATATGCTTTGAATAAACACTACAGCAAACTTGTTTGTAGACAACTGTACTTGTTGATGCATACCGGCACATAGACACAGTGGCAGATCAGGGGGGGGGGGGGGGTTCAATTTTTCAAATTTGCGAGAGCTCCAAAAATTAGTGTTCACTTCCCCACCCCCAATAAGCGAATTATCGACCGGCGCGATTTACAACTTTTCAGGAGCAAAAAAAAAGAAAAAAGAAATTAGTGCCACTACCCACTCCCCCCCCCCCCCCCCCCCCCCCCCCCCCCCCCCCCCCCCCCCCCCCCCCCCCCCCCATTGAGCGAAATATTGGCTGGCACGATTTTCAAATTTCAGCACATTAAATTTCAAATCGATTTCAAATTTGCCCCCCCCCTAAGAAATCCTGGATCCGCGCCTGCATAGACACCCCCCCTGAAACGATCTTCTCAAACCAGCCCTTTGCATCCCCCTCCGACTTGGCCTTGACCTCCCTCATTTCAAAATTTTCTTTTACTTGACATAACTATACAGATCAAGTTGTAAAATCAAAGATAAATATATTTACCTTCTCTCATGGTGCATGGTGGTCCGTTCTCTCCAGGACATTTTTGTTTCAAGCACATACTCAAAGTATGCAAGAATTTGGTACGGCAACAAGTCTCTCTGTACATTTTCCTGTAAAAGTGAGTGGGGGGGGGGGGGTTAATTCTTAGAATTAAAATATGAGCATGATCGTAGCATTGATGAACATTTTCAAAAAAATTGTTTTAAAAGATGCGTAAGACTCGAAAGAAAAAAAGTCATGAAAGGAAAACTTTATATCTACATGTAAATTACTACAGGGGGGGGGGTCAAATTGACCCCCCCCCTCCAGTTAACATAGGGTTTAAGACAGCTGGGAGCATCACAGTGAGTTTTGTTTCAAGCACATACTCAAAGAAGGCAAGCATTTGGTACTGCAACAAGTCTCTCTGTACATTTTCCTGTAAAAGTGAATGAGGGGGGGGGGGGTTAATTCTTAGAATTAAAAAAAAATGAGCATGATCATGGCATTGATGAGCATTTTCAAAAAATTGTTTTATAAAATGTGTAAGGCTCGAAAGAAAAACTTTATATCTGCCGCGGTTCCGTAGTAGTATCTTAATTACTACAGGGGGGGGGGGGTCTTAACATAGGGTTAAGAAGACAGCTGCGAGTATCACAGTGAGTTAGGCCTAGATCTAGATCTAGTTCATGCAATTACTGTCTGATTTTGTAATCAAAGCTGGTCACTTTGTCACAATACATAATCAGTACTTGGACTAACTGTTTACTTCAGGTGGGGGGTTTATCGAGTACTTGGCACAAGGCATTGAGGGAGAGGGCGAATCACTCGAGACATTCAAATTCAAGGGCAGGCCAGCCCGGTAGCAAAATAGCAAGGTTCAGTTACTGACAACAAAAGTCAGTAAGTACGTAAGTAGTAATAATAATCTAGTCTAGGCCTACATATTTATTTTTTTACGTAGGTCTAGATCTAGACGAGTCTGACTTTAATTTAAAGTCTAGACCCTAGACTAGTCGACGATCGACTTTATTTTAGTAACTTTAAATTAGACTAAAGTTTAAGTTTAGTTTAGCCATGCAAAGTGTGACTTCTATTTTGTTCTAGATCTAATGATTTCTATTTATAAATAGGATCTAGAGTCTAGTGAAATCCAGACACTATTTTGGTTCTTGCAGTTTATTGCAGGAGTTGCTGTTTCGATTGTTAGGTTGCAATAAAACTGGAATTTCAGTTTCTAAACTTAAACAGACAGCCAACTCCGAATAATTACAGCATCGGATGACAGTAGTGACTGATGCCAAAGTGCCCGGCACTAACCCGGGCACTACACGCAGCCTCCGCTTTCGACTCTTGCCCACCGCAGGCCGCACGAAACTGGTCAATCACTCGCACACGAGCTATCATAATCTATCTTTGTTTAACCGCCAGAAAAGTATTGACAAATAAAAAAGCACATAGATGTCGAGTTACGAAATTTATTTTTCGTATTGGGTAATAAATATGAGTTTTACTTACGGAATTGCTACGAAAAACAATTTCAAGCTCAGAAATTGGGTTCATTGGGGGTTCATTGTTGCGAAGAAGATAGTAAACGACACTGCAAGCAAAATAGTGCAACTGCGCATGAGCCAAGTCGTAGACTCGCCGCTAGTCACCTCTTTAATTATAAACTATAGTTTTTTTCACCGTGAATCCATTGTAACTCACGCTTGATTTCCAAGGGCGTTTATAATACGGAAATCGGCTATTGAGTTACAGTTGATTGTGAGATACGCTGGATTATAATGATGAATCCAACTTACGCTGGATCTTTATAATACACGGCCCAGCTCAGATGTCTGATACGGGTAATAATATATGTATAGACTTTGCGTGTAGAGACGAGTGAAAATATACCTTTTTATTGTCCACGGTCTCGCATCCGGGCATCTTGTATTGACCGCGCCGTATTTTGTCATTTTCATTGCGCATCTATTATGCCTACGAGAACCTGCGCACTTTACGCGCACTCTATTGTGATGTAATAATCACACCAAATGCACACTGTTTGCGGTGTATCGAAAATTTCGTCAAGCACTGGATGCACAGTGCTGGTTTGACAAAGTTTGTTCAGTTCTTTGAGATTGTCATGGTGGATTTCTGTATTTGCTCTAGATGTCTGATTTGGATAACAATACATATATTGACTGGCTTTACTTTCGGTGGATATCAGTTATATTGACCGCGCTAAGACCATATTGCCCTTGTCTTTCGACTCGGGGCAAAATGATCTGAGCTTGGTCAATATTTCTGATATACCCCTCAAGGCCAGTCAATATTATATAAACATATACATGTACTTACTGGATTAAAGATTACTCTTTTTTAAAATCATAAGTGAGTTATTTATCAAAAAGTCATTGGACTTTCCCCCGGTCCCCCACAGGAAAAATTCCTCTGTGTGGCCATGCCTTGAACCATAATGCATGGCCCTACAGAATATTTGTTCCTGTTGGGGGCTGGGGGAAAATGCAATGATTTTTTGATAATTTATTGCATTTTCTTCGTTTTTTTTTTGTTTTATGGGGGCGGCCGCGTACCCTAGCAACCGCTACGTACAGTCATGATTCAGTGGCTAAGCAATAGCCTCGTTACTGTGAGGCCCCATGATCAAAACTGTGTCGATGTGCTATATTAGTGCCCTTTTGTGAGGCATTAATCCTCATTACTGTCAGTTATGACTTAAGGACGTAGGTCCCCTAGCTGATTAGCCTAGTAGCACACACATGCTTTAGCAGTCACGTAAAACAAACACTCACAAATTATTCAATAAAATCTGAGAATGTATAGTATTATCTAGATCTATAAGAAATAAATCATTGTCAAAATCATTCCATAAACTGGGTTTTGAAAAATTATTCCACCATTATGACCAACAGTGTATGTTGTTTGTTTTGTTTTGTCTTGTTTTTGTTCTTTTTGTTCTTTTTCTATAAGTATTTGTATTAAGTTTTGACTGATACTTTGTAATTATTTATTTTGTTAATTTGTAATGTATATTTTGCATATTGTAAACTGGCCCCATGAAAGACCAGCAGCAACAATATAGTTGCAGCTGAAAATGGGCTACCAGCCGTATACGGTCCCTTTTTTTCTATGTATGATTACTTTATATGTATTTGTATCTGATTTATTATAAGGAAATAAAAACAACAACAACAGTTCATCTATGTTTACACTGTCCAGGATTGTCTGATGTGCATTGCAGATTGCTACTTTTGCGCTTCGCGCTCAAAATTTAGCTCGTTGCTTTTAACGTTGCGTCTTTGCATTTGGCGCACTGCATTTCTATGATGCTGTTGATTGAACAAATTGAATAAATTCATCAATTCCTGATGAAGCCGTATGAGCGAGAATTCAATTTATTCTTGTCTCATATACGGTTGTCTCATTAACTTCGTATATATGTATGTATCATGACAATGAGATAGCAAAATGTGTATATTGATGGTCATCTTGCGATTAATAACCATTAACTACTCTCATCAGGCTCTCATCATTAATTTTTTTAAATATTTTTTTCATGGTGAATTATCGGGGGGGGGGGATGATTGTACAGGCCACCCCCCCCCCCAGCTAAAATATTGGGAGGGGGGATATATCCCCCCAAATATCCCCCCCCCCCCCCGAGATCGACACCCATGGGTCTCACTATGTACCCGGTTTCGCATTACAACAACCATTTAGTCTCTCTGTATTTCATTATCTGTTCTAATTCCAGGATAATGGTCAACTCCTCGTAGAGGAATGTCAGCTATCTACCGAGATGACTGCCAGATTATGGTCCTGTCTCAGATCCTTCACCTCACTGAACCATCTCAGCATTTCAGACTCCTCTCTCAGTTTCCCTCCATCTCTTCGTGAGCTTCCATCCGTAACAAAGCTATCAGCCGAGAGGGTGAAGTCACAAAGCTATGAAGTTCTGTTCTCATCGCTTCCTGGCTTGAGAGAGATCGATATCCGTATCGATGATGCGGAGAGAGACATATCTCAGATCACGGCTGGTCTTCATCGGACCAGAGGACAGCAGCTCACACACATCGACCTTACAGCACCGACCGTCTTGAGTGTATCGAGAGAGACGATGAGAGGACTGGGTCTACTGATCAGAGAACAAACCAAGAAACTAGAGCGGCTAGCTCTGTTCTGGTTGAGGTGCAAAGATGAGGAAGACTTGGTTTACCTCATCGAGTGCTGCAGACATGTGAAGAAGATGTCAGAGATTTGGTAGGTTCTTGTTCAAATCTTGTATAAAATTGATTAAAATCCTACTAGACGATCCTATTTAGTTAGTTTGCACTGAGAAAGCATAATGATAAGAATTTCATTTTTTTTTTCAATTTCATTTTATTTCCACAGATTCATAAAAGACAATGTAAATTACAATCAAATATAAAAGTATTACAACAAAAGATGAACCTGCAGAGGGGGTGATCAAAAACCACAGAGGTTTATCGGGGATCATCCCCTGCTTAGAATTACAATATAAAAATACAATAGTTTTTTTAAATTAAACAATAACACATGTACAAAAACATATATAGATATTACATGCAAATCTATGGGTGGGGTGAGTAGAAGTGGGTTGGTGGTACCAAGAAATACAATATAAAGAGGAAATGAATGATATACAGGAAAGAAATATTGAGAACAATAGAAAGAAACACCGTACAAACTATATCTTAAGAGTTGGATACAAGATCAAATATTGTTTCAACTTTGACTTGAATGAATAAAGTGATGAGCAGCTGATAATATCATTGGAAAAAAATTCCATAGAATGCGTGAATGGATGCAAAGGTTAAAACGTGAGTGTAACCTCAAAGTTAGGATGGTCTTTGTTTTTATTATTGCTCTTAATTGTTATTTAAAATTTGTCAATGTACAGTCGCAATAAATAGAATTTGAATACCTGTATTGAAATAAAAAAAATTGGTATACATTTGCATGTATTATTATGAACCGTCGGAAAGTAAAAGTATGTAGATCTAAGTCCATTTTGACTTTAAAAATAATCATATCCTGATAAAATTAGTTATCATTATCATAACTTTTCATTATTATTATTATTATTATTGTTATTTTGCCACTACTATCATCTTTATCATAATTTGTTATTATTGTCACTATCTTATTGATTATCATAAGTATCAATATTTCGAGTTGAAGGTAGGTCTACGTTTTTTTATATTTTTAGGCAGAATGGCGAATCTCCGGCAGCGAATTAAAAAGTGTTGTGCTCTAGCTGCAATGAACCGTTAAAGGCAAACTGTCCTTTTAAAAATTATTCTACATTGTTTTTTCGGATGCATCGTTAAGGCCCGGTCACACAGAGGGGACGCATGCGGGACGCACGGCCGGCGCATGGAAAATTTTCAATTTTGGCCAGTGCGTTGTCGTTCGCTAGGCGTGCGTCATCACTCGTTACTCGTTCGTCGAGCGCGCTGGACCAACGCTGGACCAGCGCTATGCATTCGTCGTCATTCGCTGTGTGCGTCGGGATTTTTTGAGCATGCTCAAAAGTGTGCGCGGAGCTGGACGCATGAATGTACACGCCAAAGGCACGCCAGACGTGCGTTGAGCGCGCTAGACCAGCGCCAGCCATACGCGGGGCACACGCCCTGTATACGCACAGCGCGCTAGCTACACGCTGTGCATTTTGTGTCAGCTCGCTAGCTTTTCCAAAATCATGACAAAAGTTAGGCACACGGCCTTTTCCGATTTCCAATGCGCTGGCCGTGCGTCGTAGAACGCGGTGCATGCGTGGACCATTCGTCCAGCGCGCTAGCAACACGCTGTGCATTCGTGGAAGTTGTTATCATGTGCTCTCTGGGTACGGTCTGTATGCGTACTGTATGCGCCCTGTATGCGCTCAGCGCGCTAGCAACACGCTATGCATTTGGTGTCAAAAGTTGGGCGCACGACAACGCACTGGCCAAAACTGCAAATTTCCCATGCGCTGGTCGTGCGTTCCCCATGCGTCCTCCCTGTGTGACCGGGCCTTTAGAACATCAAGTTCTGTAATCAAGGCTAGTCGATTTTGGGTCAATCAACCACAACATTGCGTCGCTAAACTACTGCAAGAGAGGTCCTCGAAAAGTAAGTAAATTCCGTTCTGTTGATACAAAAAAAAATATTTTGGTCGAAGGAAAGAATTTCTCTCATTTTTAACTGAACGATATTTGAGATAAATATCAACTAAAAGCATTGCGCAACTTAGCTAAACTTACGTTAACTCCTCGAATTGCACCGGTTCATGCATTTTCGTCCCATTCATATAGCATACATTCATGCAATGTTTAATTGTACTTGTCTGACGATGTTGAATATTTCGTTAGGACATGTAAGAAATATAGTTTTTTTTTGCATTTGATAACAAAATAAGTCTACCACGGCTTTAGGAATCATTGTGTTGTATGGGTTTGCCGATAAGTCTAGTGCTTATAAGTGTAGATTTAGGCTTAGATTTCGAATCTAGGCCTAGATCCAGGCTAGACTACTTTGTTTTTTGCCGGTAGGCAGTGCGGTAGCCCTTGTTTTGTGTTAATAATAACAATCAAAGAGATCATTGCTTTAACTTCAACATTTTATGCAAGAAAATACGAATCCACACTTTCAGACCGAAGACCAAGTTAGATCTTGATTAAGATCTTGATGTAGATTTAGTCTACATGATACTAGATCTAGGGTAGATGTAGACCTAGTCTTCACACTGCATCTTTTGTGCAGGACTAACCTAGATAGGTTAGAAGTTAGAGTTAGTCCTTTAGTCCTAGATCTTGACTAGAGG